TATCTGAATGGATCGATTGCAGGGTTATTGCAACATGATATTGTGGGTAGGAGGGAGATGGAGACATCCCATATAAATCCCCATTTTCAGCTTTATTTCCTTAACACATTTTTTTCTGAGACATTTAAAGTGAAAACAACGTAAACTGGCATTACCATTCATTCTCTCCTTTATCTCTTCCCATTATCCTTTGTGCCGTTGCCTTCCTGAAACCAGCGGACCCCACACGAGCTCAGTTTCTCTAAAGAAAGCAGCGACTTTATAGAAATGGAATTGCAGCAGTTCCCCCGTGATTCACGGTATCCAAATATTTGAACTGGAAGTCACTTTGTAGATTGGCTAGGCTGCTCCCTTCATTTATTGCCTAAGGAACTGTGAACCCAGCAAGGTTAAATGACTTGCTAAAGGTTTCACACCCCGGTATTGCCAGGTAGCCTGCAACGATGGGGCTAGAACCTGGAGTCAGTCCTCCCACCTGGGCTGAGGGAGGACCTGGGAGGTTACACCAGCAGCAGGTATGAAAGAGGTTTGGTGTGACAGGCCACAGCTGTCCCTGAAGGAAACAGCAACAAGCAATAAGGAAACAGCTTTCAGTTGAGTGTCGGGGATGAGGGGTGGGGGGTGGCAGGTGGGAAGGAAGAGAAGAAACAGTCTAGGGATAACCAATATTGAACAAGTCCAAACAGATGATCAGCATGAGGATAGAATCGCTGGGTTGTGTGGGAGATGTCTGCCCATGACAAGAAAGGAAAGCACATGGCAGGATCCTGCCTGAGGGACAGGAGTGTTCAGGTGGTTGCTAAAACAGGGACCAGGTCCAGAGGAAAGAAGTCAAAGTCAAGTATTAGAACTGATACCTGAAGAAGAAACGGGGATTTGGATCCTGGGACGTGAACCAGGAATAGGTCAAGATGATCTAACAGTGGCAAGAGCACTTCCAAAAAGGCTTCTGCTAGCATTTTCCCTCAAATTTGTGCCCCGTTTTCATTTGATCACTTCACCTGAGTTTCATTGTTGGTGAAGATAACAAACTGGCCTCAATATTGAGCTTTTTAGACACCTGTCAAGGAAAACACTGCAGTCATCAGAGGCACAAATAATACCACATATAACCCATGCCTTCTGTGTTACCAGAAAATGGAACATTAGAACTTTAAATCACTGTTCAGGAGACAAACACCAAATACCCACAGAACTGAGGGCTGCAAGCCTGTGTGTCCCAGGGGAGGGAGGTGGCAGAGTGTGGGGGCAAGGCACTCCTAGTACTGACCACAGATGGAGACTGGATGTGCCCAGTGCTGGCTGTAGGGCGGGGCTTGAAAGTGTAGGGGACCTGAGGTGACAGTCTCAGAGAAGCAACGTTTCTGGAGAGAAGGATGCAAAGAGAGAAGAGGTGCCATTGGAAGATCTGGTTCTGCAGAGAAAAAGGAAGAGGGAAAATTTTATGATGCTAGAGAAATATAAGACCAACCTCCTCCAATCATCATGTGGTAAAGAAGCTAAAGCAAGGGTAGAAACAGGGTTGATGAACAGTGAAACATGCTGATAAAGCAAAAAAGAATGCAACAAGAGGACTGGTAGGAAGAAGGACTGAGGGGAAAGCTGATTGTGGCATATGTAATTGAAGGGAGCTGAGGGACGTGATTTTAACTAGATAGTAATGATAAAGTAATAATAAGGGAATAATAAGCACTCTGAAAGAACCTGCAAGAGGTGGAGGGGACTGGAGGAGGGGTAGGAGAGGAAGTGACACCTCACTGAGTGTACCTTTTAGTATAGTTTTGACTTTTGGGGCCATATTAATGTTTTCTATATTCTGAAACTGAGGTGAAATGCACAAGAAGAGGGGAAATTAAATCTGAGTACTGTCAGAAACAAATGAACTGAACTGCACAAAGGAATAAATAGCATAACTACAGGAAAGAGTGACAGTTACCAATTTAGTAACTTTTGAACATTGCATCATTACTATATACCCACATTCGAAAGAAAAATCAAATTGTGAACTCTTCTTACTACTATTTTCCATACAGTAACAATTTTGCATGCACTGTGGGATTGAATAAATGAGTAGATGTATGGCTGCCTGTGTTCTCACTGTAGAGAAGGAAGACACAGATATGAAAAGGGGAAGACAAAGAAGAATTCTGTAGTGGTTGGAGAGAGAGAGTTTGTGTGTGTGTGTGTGTGTGTGTGTAGTGATAGGAGAAAGACAGAGACCCTTTCACTGAAAGGGACTGACAGAAATGACCTCTCAGTAGCAATGGCATTCATTAATAGCCAGATCTTAATTTCCAAATATCATTCCCCAACTAAACGCAAGCAGGATTCCTTGGAGAAATGGCGTGTTTCAGCAACGGCGCAAAGAAAGAGCAAAGTGGGCTTGGAACATTTCCCTGTGCCTGAAAAGAAAGCCTCTTCAAGATGATGAAAACATGTCAAAAGGACACAGGTTACAGAGGTTCACCTTTTCAAAGCTGGGATAACTTGAGCATCAAAATAAATAAAATAGTAATTTAGAACCCTTTCAATAGTATAAGAATCCATGTGTTCATACTGATAAATAATAAATAGGAAAAGCATTTTCTTATGATAGAATGTAAATTCATAAATGTAGTTGGAATAATAGAATGAGAAATCACCATGTGCAACCATAGGAATAATTGATTCAGGGAAGATTCATCAATGGTTGCTAAGATAAACTGATGAAAGTTTGATGAGAAATATTATATTTTCATAGTCTAAAAACATCTCTGCACAATTAACTACAATTAGGAAAGTAGCTCTGGAGTGGAGAGATTTAGTAGACCCCACCTTAACCAAGTGATCAAAGCTAACATGTCCAGTATGGATACATGGACATGACATAATTCTGATAGGATGCACTGAGAAGAACCCAGCATCAGTCATGTGCTACTCCTGCCAAGTGTGCAGGAGGAAACTTGAAACAAACACTAATTAAGGGACACTCCACAAAATAATTGGCCTTTACTCTTCCAAGAAAGAAAAAGAAGGAAGGGAAGGGGGGCTGGTGAGGAAGGAAGGAAGGAGGGAAGAAGGAAGGAAGGAAACAAAGAAAAGAAAAAGAAATTAGTAGCATGAAAGACAAAGGACCGTTCCAGAATGTTCCAGCATCCTATATGAATGACAAATAGATGCAATAGGTGCTTGAGCCTGGATAGGTTTCAGGACTGGAAAAAATTGCTATAATGACACTGTTGGAACAATGGATGAATTGGAATAGGTACTGAAGATCAGACTGTGGTATTGTATCAATTAATATTTCCTGAACTTGATGATACTGTGGTTGTGTAGAAGAATGTCTTTGTTACTAGGAAATATACACAGAAGTATTTAGGGATAAAGGGCATCGTGTCTGCAACTCCCTTTCAAGTTGCAGGGAAACACGATGAAAGAAAAAGAGAATGATCTAATGATCTCTCAAATGTGGCAAAATGTTAACAGTTGGTGAATCCAAGGAAAGGGGATGTGGGAATTCTTCATACTAGTCTTTCAAATCATCTGTGAGTTTGCAATTATTTCCACATAGAAAGTTAAAAAAAAAAAAACAACCCTGATAGGAAGACACTACAAAGGAAAAAAGTTTGATCTTTGCACCACCTAAAAATCATACCATTCTTTTGAAGAAAACTGGTTTGGAGCTATATATCCCCATTTCCAAATGTCAAGGAGGATTATAGTGAAAGGGTGGGTAGAGCAGAGTTTGCCTGGGGGGGAGGGGCATGCTCACTGCAGCAGCCTTGGGAAGGGTTAACTTGCACAGCTCAGGACTCCAACGAGGCCAGTAGTAGCTGAAAGGGACTCAGGTCAGCCGCTACAGAGGGCAGATCCCATGTCACCATTTCATGCTCCTTCTAAAACCTAATATGCGTATACCTGTGTCTTTTTCCCCTTATTGTTTCGCTAGTAACCAGGTAACCATATTCGACCTAGTCTCCTCTAGAAACCTATTTACCATTCAGATAGCCACTGGCTCTGAGGAGCAGGAAAGCGATAGTTTTTATTTATTTTTATTTTTTATTTTTTTGCCTTTTCTTTATATTTTTTGTGTCTATTTTTATTTTTTTAAATTTTTTATTGTTATGTTAATCCCCATACATTACATCATTAGTTTTAGATGTAGTGTTCCATGATTCATTGTTTGGGCATAACACCCAGTGCTCCATGCAGAACGTGCCCTCCTCAATACCCATCACCAGGCTAACCCATCCTCCCACCCCCCTCCCCTCTAGAACCCTCAGTTTGTTTTTCAGAGTCCATCGTCTCTCATGGTTCATCTCCCCCTCTGATTTCCCCCCCTTCATTCTTCCCCTCCTACTATCTTCTTCTTTTTTTTTTTTTTGTCCTTAACATATATTGCATTATTTGTTTCAGAGGTACAGATCTGAGATTCAACAGTCTTGCACAATTCACAGCAGGAAAGCGATAGTTTTTAAAAGGGAAGGGGCAGGGGGACTCAAGTATAGCTCAATTCTTAAATTTCTCATTATATTCTTACGCTGAATAGCCATTGATTAACAAGGAAAACAACATGTTTGGTTTGCATTTGGAACTATGCTCTCATGAATTGACCTGAGATTCTTTACTATGGCCTAAACAAATAGCGGGTTGTGAAACTGTAACAGGCCTTAATGAAGTGGATTGAGGCATTTCTTACATTTACATTTTCATAGAATGAAATAAACGTGGTAATCTTTTTACAGAACACTCTCACATCAGGCCATGATTTGATTTGCTACCTGTTCAGAATATCAAGTTTTGCATTTCTCTAAATGGTAATGTACTTTTGTGAACAAGTTGATAAGACAGAAGTCATCCATGAGATATCTATAAAAGTACTTAGAGCAAACTTGTCTAAGATTCTTCTAAAAGATTGTTTTGGATCCTGAGGAGATATATTTAGTAACTGTATTGAATAAGTTGTCACCTAACACAACATTTCATGGATTTATTTGTATTATTTTTGTATGTCATTGCAGGCAGAGAATTCAGCATTGGCTTTGGAAAATGAAAATCAAAGGGAACAGTATGAGCGATGTCTTGACGAGGTAAGCGGATTTAGAAAGGTTCTTCGCACAAGGCTAGACTATTGAGGAATCCCTTGCTCAGATCTTAATATATGTCTGTTAGCAGCCTCCGCAGAACATTAGCATTTTGTCCTCCAAAGGAAGGTTGCAAACATGTATGTGGATATTGAGAAGGAAGGTCAGTCTCCCTCTCCCTCCCCTTCCCTCTCTCCTTTTCTCCCTATTTTAGTGTACAGGCATCTGTAAATTCCTTTTGGCTATGATTTAATATTCTTGGAACACAGTTGGGGACTGCTTCACTGTATGATAAATTCCTTCTGTCCAGTAAGTGTGATCCCCAGCCTGTGAATGAGAAAAGCCATGTCAAGGCACACTGCATCTCCAATTGGATGCTGTTTCTGAAAAAGCAAACCCTTGATAGAGTGGGTGGGGATGATGTTCACAGTTGGCGGCCAGAGGGAAAAAAAAATCAGTAGATTGAGAACAAGCCAAGAAGAGAAAGGGAAGTGAGGAAAAAAATTTGAGCAGAATGGAAAAAGAGCTACACGTGTGAGTAAACTTGAGAAATATTATTTGATGATAATGAAGAGATGAAGGCAAAGATGGTGGGTGTTTCTGAGTTCCTGGGAGGCGAGGGGAAAATTGAAGTGTGTGCAGGGCCCTCATTCTCCTCAGCCATTCCCCTTACACTCTGTCAGGATTCCTACCATCAGTATCTGTGGTGACACCCAGGCAGGATGGGCCATTCACCTCACTGACAAGGCTCTCATCTGGGATTTTGTTGGTGACTGGAGTTATTACTTTAATGGGATGACTTTTTTAGTCATCTGTCCGAAACCCTAAAACTTGCACGTATCTATCTAGTCATCTTAGAAGTTGTTTTGAAATAGCTGACACAGGTTTTCAGAAAATAAGCACAACTACATTTAATTGTGTTCCATTACCTTACCAGGGGAAACTAGTATATAGATCTTCAGTCTTGTTCTTCTCACTAACAATTAGGAAAACCTTTTCCAGAAAACTCCTCTTGATCTTTCTTCCCCTCCCCCACACTGTCCCAGAAGGTGATGGTTTACACTGTGAAGAACATAGGTTCAAATCCCTCTTATGACATCATCACTGCCCCACATACCTCTCCCCTCCCTCCAAACTGGAAGTGGTTTCTCTCCTCAGAGTTGCAGCTGTGGCCAGTATTTTCCTACACCGGAGATTCTGAAAATGTGACCCCTGAGCCAGCAGCATCAGCCTCACCTGGGAAGTTATTGGAAATGCACATTCTGAGGTCCTACCCCAGACATCCTGCAGAAGGGAGTCCGGGAGTGGGCCTGGCAGTCTGTATGTTCGCAGGCTCTCCAGGTGACAGTTTGAGAGCCACAGTCCTCATAGCATGGACCACTTTGCCTTACAGTGACTTGCGTGTCGTTGAAGAACCCTCAATGTATTCCCAGAAAGTTCCTTACGTGTTTAATATTTCTAGCCATATATATCAGTTAGTCAAGCAAAATGGTATTTGCAGTGCTCTGCCCTGTCTTAAAAAGACTCGGAATAATCTTCGCAATGCCCAAAGTCAAAAGAATAGCTGAAGTGAATTGACATAAGAGGGGAATGATGACTCAGGCTAGTGAGGCCAGTTCAGCACTTCTCAATCCTGTCCCCCAGGCTCTTGGTCCAATCAAAGTTTAGGGCAAGAAAGACCAAATAGATCCAAGGATATTGAAAGGAACAAATATTGCCCTTGGGTCATATGTATTGATCAGCAAAGTTTCACTTTAACCTCCTGTGCGGAATTTCTGATGAGGTTGAATCTGTATTCAGAAGTCAAATTTATGTGGATCACACCACAGGAACCTCTTATTTGTCACAGTTCTCCCACAGGTCATCCCTCCCCATCAGTCAAAAAGCTCACAGCATTTCTTTATGGAAACTCCTAGTCTTGTTTTCCATATCCTCCCTATGTCTGCATTCTGAAGGTTTCATCAGAATGTGTCAGGTCAAACATAATTTTTCATCCACAGAATTATTTCATATGGAGTTTCGACTGAAGACAGAATTTTTAGAGGGAGAGTCCCTCTGTTTTTAATTGCGAAAATTAACTATTGCCAAAGAGGTGATTTGCAACTCAGAACTACCTTTGAGCAGTACACATGTTTTGCATTCATGATACCGGCCCCTGATTACACATGCCAGTTGTTTTTGTAACTAATTGCATGAGGGTAGACAATTCATTTCTATGCATTGTAAGAGAACACTCTCAAAGGGGTAGTTGAGTGTAGTAATAATGCCAACTGGAAATTCTTTTCAAGGCTTTTTAGACTAATTAGACACACTAACAAGGTAAGGCCTCATGTAAGTTATTTCCTTGCTAGTGGGTTTCATAAAACATACACAAGTGGATATAATCTAAAATTAAAATGTTCTTCAATCCCTTTTGCACTGATTGTTATTTCCTGGGAAATGAACATGTTGAGAATTTGGGGAAAACACTTGGGAGTAGGAAATCCCCTCTGTGTGTTCTAAAAAAAGGAGTATGTTTATTCAGAAGGAAACAGAGGCACATCCACAGACACACGGGCTTGCTGGCACACACATGTCCACAAATGTGTGCACACAAGTGTGTACACACACACACTTCACCACTTCACTTCCCCTCTACCTAGCTCCTCATCTCCTTGCCTTACAACACAAGGCAACACCAAGGACCAGTCTTGATTTCTTGAGGGGGTTGGAGTTTTGCATGTTTGAGCCTAGTTTCCTCCTCTAGCTGTTTGACACACAGTTTGCTGGTAAGCAGTGAATTGCTGTTTATTCTCACTAATGCCTTGGCCAGCCTTCCTTTAGGACCAACTAATTCCCATGGAGAGAAGTATAATGACACATATAAAAATAAGGAAAGTAACATCTCACAATGTTGCCTTACATTTAGATGGATTCAGTTGTATCCTACAAATATTTGTCGGGTGTCAGGGTCACCCAGGCTTGGGAAGTCATGGTGCTCCTAGCTTGGCAGAAGTGATTCTGTGATTCTTCAATCACAGAAGAATGAAACGAGGGAAACTCTCATAGGAAATGATCTACCCTGGGGTCTTTGAGATCATACAACACAGTCAATAAAGGGCATGAGAGGTAGTGGGTGAGCTGGCAGTTAAGGGGGCAGAACTGAAAGGGCATCTTCAGCCACAGGAGTTGAAGCAGGTAAAGTCCAAGTAGTTCTCACCCTTACCTGAACATCAGACTTAACTGGGAAGGTTTAAGAATACTGCCCACTGGTGCCTCCCTGCCTAGTGTCAAGACTCCTTCACTGCCATAACTTGCAGCTGATAGATGATCCTTTCTATTCAAGGAGGTTCATATATGTTGTCCACCTTGGTTTCAGCTGCCTCCCCTTTCATACCTCCCCTATATGTTCCCCAAATGACCAATATTGACCCATAGGTAGGGACATCTTTACATCCCTGTTCAGCAGGAAGACATTACAGAAGATGAGACCTTCCACCTTCAACGACCTTAAAGATTTAAGGGTCAGAATTGTTCAGGGGGAAATATTGAGGGAGCAGAAGCCTAGCTGAAGACAAAGCATAAGCACCCTGCAACCTCCCCCACCACCCGTGGGATATATGCGACATTCTTCCAGGAAGATCCCAACCATCTTAATGTTAATGCCTTGCTAGAGGGAAAAACAACCTTAACTTGACAATGGCAAGGCCACTGGTATTCTGTAGGTCCTCTTTAGCATATGAAAGTTCTTTTGAAAACCTCCCTTTTCCTTACCTCCCCCAACCCCATAGTATATAATCAGCCACCCCTCATAACCCTGGTGCAGCAGCTCTTTCTGCCCACGGGACTTGTCCCCATGCTTTAATAAACCACCATTTTGCACCAAAAAAAAAAAAAAAAAAAGAATACTGTCAGCTGGGCCGCATCTCAGAGATTCTAATCCAATTCTGGTCTGAAGTGGAGCCTAGGTGTTAGAAATCTTAAAGACTCCAGGGAGTTATAATATTCAGCCAAGATTAAGAAGCATTGCACTTGATCCTCTGAATGCTGTGCTTCAGAGAACATTTTCAGAAAGTGTCAGAGGATAAAAGCTCCACCAAACTTGGATATAATGATAGAAGAGCAACAGACCCATGTGGAAATTTTGGGTTATTTCCAATTTCTCAACAGTGTCTGAGCAAACAAAACGTAAATGCTGGGACAGCGTTTCTCAAAGTGTTTTTCTGGGCCCTTTCTGCATCAGAAAGATGTGCAGTGGTTGCAAAAATGCAGATTCTTGCACCACAAAGGCTCTGAATAGTCAAAGCAATCTTGAAAAACTAAAGCAAAGCTGGAGGCACCACAGTTCCGGACTTCAAGCTATATTGGAGTCATCAAGACAGTAGGTACTGGTACAAAAACAGACACATAGATCAATGGAACAGAATAAACCCAGAAATGGACCCTTAATTCAATGGTCAACTAATCTTTGACAAAGAAGGAAAGAATATGCAATGGGAAAATGACAGTGTCTTCAACAAATGGTGCTGGGAAAACTGGACAGCAACATGTGGAAGAATGAAACTGGACCACTTCCTTACACCATACACAAAAATAAATTAAAAAATGGATGAAAGACCTAATGTGAGAGAGGAAACTATCAAAATCCTAGAGACCACAAACAATAACCTCTTTGACATTGGCTGTAGCAACTTCTTACTAGATACATCTTCTGAGGCAAGGGAAACAAAAGTAAAAATAAACTATTGTGACTTCATCAAGATAAAAAGCTTCTGCACAGTGAAGAAAACAATCAACAAGACTAAAAGGCAACCTTTGGAATGAGAGAAGATATTTGCAAATGACATACCTGATAAAGGGTTAGTATGCAACATATATAAAGAACTTATACAACTCAACACCCAAAAAACAAATAACCCAGTTAAAAAATGGGCAGAAGATATGAATAGACATTTTTTCAAAGAAGACATCCAGATGGCTAACAAAACATGAAAACGTGTTCAACATCACTCATCATCAGGGAAATG